GGTGGTGGTGAGTCGGTGGCCGCTTCGCGGCCACCTCCTCCCCACCACCTCCCCCGCCCACCGTCCCCACAAAGGTCCTGTGATGGAAATCAGGCAAAAGTCCTGGTGCGCATCTTCAACGTCGATTCAGATTCCGATATCTACCTAGGTAGAGTCCATTGATTGATGTGACTTAAATCCGATGTAGCTTGTGAATGATCGAACCCGCGCATAATGTCTCGAGTCAGGCCTTGAGACGTGGGGTACAGTCATGAGGCGCATGGAACTTAAGAGCGAGAGTACGCACGTTGTGGTAGTTGTGCGTGGAAGGAACGTATGTGACGTTGAGGAAAAGAGCATGATGGGTGCTCATGTCCAAGGGTAAGAAACATAATAGAAGCTTGGAGAGTAGCGACGAATAGAATTTCATGCTCGATCTGTCCTGTCTGCTGAGCGTTAACATAAAATTACGCCTGCGCTAGATGCCCAGTCTTCAACTTCGTGTTCCTTGCCTTCCATACAGAGACTTGTTGGAATGCTTCAACTTCACCGAGGCACCATCTTGTGATCTCCCCCAAGGATCTCTTTCGCTTCATTGTTCGGATCCTCTGCAGTCCTTGGCGTTGCTGTCGCCATCCGCGAATTTCCATTCAGGTTCAAGGCCTTCACTGCGTGTCGCATTACGCCGATCTTTCGTGCCTCAGCCTTGGCTAGGGCCTTGCGGGAGGGCTTCTCTGGCGTAGCAGAGCTCCGAGGCAGAGGAGAATCCGATGGCTTGCGAGGATTGGCTTTCGAGTCGTTGCCAAGATCCTATCCTGCTTCTGGAGGCTCCGGATCCTCCGCTGTTCTCCTTGTGGCCGTCGCCGACGGACCCTTCCGTTTCGAACTTTTGCGCGCGACCGGTCGAGACTGTTGTCCTGCCATTACTGCATCGCCGTCGTTGTCGTGAGGAACGTTTGCTGGGGTAGATTCTTCGGATGTCTTCTGTTCTAGTTCTCCATCTACCTCGCCACCGAACACTTCGTGGTACAGACGAGCTTCATCTAATGTGTTGACGTCTTGCGGGCGTGACCGGAGCCACTTCATGCGCGGACCACCCTTCGCTCGTTCCGAGACTTTGAAGCCATAGATTCTAGGTTCGTAGATCTTGCCTTTCCCTAGGCCGGGAGCGAGATTTTGTGTCGCTACGCCGTTGATTGACGCAGGCTGGGGCGGTATAGCCGCCACGGCGGTACCTTGAGAGCCTTTGTCATTCTGTTGTGTGGATGAGCCTGCAACGGCTGGAGGGTTTGGTAACGTGAGGCTACTCGATCGGCTTGCAGTCATGCCTGGTCCGCCGCGCTCGCCCTGACCCACCACACTCTCCGCGTCCTCGTTTCCTGCGTTTGCGTTGTTTTCTTTCGTAGCCTTCCGCTTCGGAGGCGCAAATTCCAGATCTGGGAACGTCATGAAGAACAAACAGCCAAACGTTGTGCCAAAGAATGCGCCATCGACAGCCTGAAACCGTGAGTTAGGCGGTGTGTATGCGTCCAAGCAGCTCGGACAGAATAGCTTGACCGTTTGCTGACCAGGAGTATCTGTCAACCCAATAGGCACAACTCTAATGCCGCCACAATTTACCCTTGGACAATATCCAAAGTGTGACAATTCGTACTTCTCCATCATTTGCTGAATACCTGGTCTAGAGGTAATGTAGCGAGCGTGTATTAAGCCGTACAGCAGTTCAGCGGATGACTCGATGACCGAGGTGTCACTATTCGTCCTGTTGTGCCGTCGGTTTGAAGACGTCCCAGCTGATTGTCTTGCTCCGCCATTCTGCGCAGGTTCGTCGAGTTCCTCTCCAAGTAAGCCGTCATCGTCTTCCTCCTCTTCTTGTTCCTCCTCTTCTATTTCATCTCCCGACAGCATTGACGAATCGGGCTCGCTAGGCTCCACGTCTAATATCATCTCTAGCGCCTCCTTGTACATGGGGACCTGCGATTGCAGGCCCGTGAGGTTGAAGTCATCCTCGATAAACTCTTCGCTGACTTCGGCAAAGTACTCGTGTCCAACCAGGCCGCAGAATTGGGCAATCCAGCTGTCTGGAGTCTGGGAGGAGGACTGCGACATGTCTGTTATGGTTGCGGAGGATGTCGTGAAATATTCGTTGTAATCGGACTGTTCTTGGTCGAGTTCGAGGCCTTCCAGGCCAGTGGCCAGCGCCGAGGGTGTTGGAACAGACACCCTGCCGGTTTAGATCGCCGTACACACTCTGCGCCAGGCTTTTTGCTCTGATTAGGTGGGTGGATGGTGGGGTTGGTGATGGTGACCGAGGACACTATCGCTGCCAGCAATGACTAGCTTTCACCTGAGCGGCGGTGAGGTCGCCGTTGCCATGCCTATCGCTGAACAGGGGCAGGTCCAAATGCTGAGTTTGTGGAATATCGCACGCCGCGTGGGATCAGGCTGGATATCAAGTGGGCTGGCTCGGTTGGTGGAAATGCGACAGATATATGCGAACGTGTCCAGACCTCTAGAACTGGTTGGAACTTGCAAGTAACACAATGACTTTCAGTAGACTGCCTCAGGCTGGGCGGCAAGTCGAAAATGATAGATGTTGTTTAAGTTGTTGTCACGCAGCCCGCCATGAAAGTTGAAGAATCCCAGATCTGAGCATCTGGAAGGAGGAGGGTTAGGGTTGTACAGTACCTTCAGGACTGCCATCAGCACATGCTGCACTTTATTGGCAAGTGCTGCCATCCAAAGTCACCCAAGCACCAGAGAGTCATTCACATTTGAGGGTAGTCTATGCATGGAAGTTTCTGTGTTGTGTCTGCGACTGTTACTGAAAGCCCGGTGCCAGTTCGCTATAAGACTGCCTGCCTCTTTTCAACGACTATTCTGCTCTCGATGCCAATAACCTACTTAGTATCTATAGCAACTCACTGAGAATCTTGCTGAACTCCGGCTCATTACCGAATGGTGCATTGCCGTAGTCAAAAGCACCATCATCCCTCCCGCTGAAAGGAGTACCGAAGTCGCCCTGCCCAGGTGTACCTCCGTTGAAGTTGCCAAAGTTGCCCGCCATCTCAAACAAATGCGTAAGCTCGTTCGACATCTGAAGAGCATTTTCCGGGCTAGCATGAAGGTCATCGAAACCATTCGTCTTGCCCATTGAATATTCAACGCCTTGACCAGCCATACCAACCATAGCGGCAGCGGCGTCAGAGTGGGGATCGTTCTTCAGGTCGTTAACGTCGTCATTCGGCCCTCGCGCCATCATGCCAATCTTGTCTCCCATCTCCTTCAGACCACGAATCGTCCGCCAAAGACGCTTTGACACGTGTGACTTTGTACTGAAGCCCTTGACGAGCTCAATGGCAGCGTAGAACTCCTGTCGAGTCTGATTGCAGAATACTGCGGGGGCATGTGCGACCGAAAGGAAGAGCACAGCCAGGGCTTGCACGAGGAAGTAGTTGAACAACATCTGTTGTGTCCTGTAGATGTCAGAAATCTGGTTGACGCCTGTCAATGTATTGATGGTCTCTTTGGCAACGTCGACGACCTGTTGTGCATGGTGTCGATTCTCCATGATGCTTGTGGCTGAGTGCAGAATTGGGCGGTATATTGAGATTCGAGCTTGGTTCTTCCGCAGGTGCATCAGCATGCGCAAGCGACGGACTCCTCGACTCGGCATGGCGTTCTCGCTCTTGAGATCTCGATTATTGAATTTCAGGGAATCTGGTAGCTCTTCATACCACTGCACTATTCGGTAGTCGAGGAAGCCGATCTCGTCCTTTTTGGTTCCCTGGCCACTGTCATAGGCCGTGTTATGATACCAAATCTTTGTTGCAATTTGGTTATACTTGGTAATGTGCTTCAAGTATGGATATTCATCATCCTGTCATTGATGTTAGTATACAAGTACGTTTCAGAAATGATGCAACTTACCGGTTCCGGCAGATTTTGGTCGATGTCGGCATCCTGCAAAGCGAATGGCATGCCCGTGCCAAAGCTCCATCTCCTGTCAAGAGCGTAGACCACCCAGAAGACACGAACAGCTTGCATATACTCTGCCTCGTTGGTGAAGTGCTTTGCCAGTCCATTCCGTCGATGCAAGCCCATCTCGAGACAAATTCGCGACGCGATACCAATGAAGCGCCACGCCTGTGTCTCATCATCACACTGGAAATAGTACGTAGCTGTCAGAACGAGAAGGATGATTGACGTGATGCCTGTGCTTGTGACAAGTTTGACGTCGACGGCTGGTTTAGCAGATTCGAAGAAGCGCTGACCCAGGTCGCTGCGGCCATTGCCCTCGACGACCAAGATGATAGCCAACATCATCTTCAGTACAACCGTCTCCTCATCGTCAAAGGCGTCAGCGCCGGGCAGATTGAGCTGCCCATAGCCAGTTCGTAGGCTTGCTCCAATGAACTTGTACAGACTGCTGGCATGTTTGACGAGCTTCTTATGGTCGATGATGGGGTACATGATGCCGATCTCCTCTTCATAGACGTGAAGTAGTCTTTGTACCTCGTTGCTGTCTAGTAGCCATAAAGGGTCCTTTTGTGGGTGCATGCTGGCTATTGGAGCTGGAGAGGTAGCGCGACTTCGTTCTGTCGACATGGCGCCCTCTTCGGCTGCGTTGTTTGTCACGCCCATGGTCTGCAGCGAAGATTTGGCTATGTCAAAGCCATACATAGAGCTCGTTGGACCGTACAATGGGGGCAACGTCTTTTGTTGCTGCTGTCGCTTAGGCGAGACCAGTGTGGAAGCGTTCTCGAATGCGCTCGGTCTGGACCAAATATTGGGTCCGGTGCAGGCATTGAGCTGCCTGCATCTTGTCGTGTACGCAGCTCATTCACCTGGGCGAAGAGATCATGGACTTGGTTCTGCAGTGCCTCAATCTGGTTTCGCATCTGCTGGAACTCGGTCGAGTCTTTCAACGAATTTGTACAGCAGTTCGGCGCATAGACGCACTCCAGGTTGAGGTTGCCGCAGCGCTGACATGGCTGCTGTCCATTGCATCTGATTTTGCGCCTCTTGCACTCATTGCAGGCGATGGAGATGTAGCGGTTGCGCTTCGAACGTGTATGCGAAGGTCCATCGTCAGCTTTGCGCTTGTCACCGGCGACGCTGGAGTTGGGCGAGTCGTCATTGTTGGCCATGGCAATCGTGTTGCGAGTCACTTGCGCATGTGGTGGGTGGTACGGGCACTGAGGAACAAATTCCGCCTGAAGAAGCCGGCACTGTGGATGATGAAGAAGCTTGAAGGCGGTCTACTATTCCGTCCCCCGCTTCAACGCCCCATGAACTGTGGGTACATGATTTGCAAGTACATTGCTTAGGTAATGTTCCTGATCTTAAACCTGACCTGACCTCGGCGTCGACGAGTCTGTTCGCTTCCATACCAGAGGCATCTCGAATAAGGTGAAGGTAGGCGAGCACCATCTCATATTCTCGCTGCTCCAGCGGTAGATGTGTTGCGAACTCGAGTCATGTATCACAGATTCGCCCGCAAACTGACCAGCCCAGCAAGTGACCGCGATCCTTCGTCCAGCGCTTGGGTGCCTATCGGGAGCCACCAGTCTGAGGGTGCATACAGGGTGCCAAAAGGGTACCAGAAGACCAGCTGGCAGTGAGAGCTTCGTCCACACTGCTTTGTCACAGGTGACAAAGTGATGGATCTAAAGTGACTCAACAGTCGTGCTTGCCTGCAATGTTTTTGACAGTGACTCATGGCCACAAAGGCCGCCTCAGACCTTCTTACATGTCAATTCCAGATGCTTTCCCGCAGATCATCAGAATACTAAGGTACTCGATCGTTCAAATACCGAAACCCAGATTTTCAAGTTGCCTGCACAGAGGGCGCCCTGACCAACCTTTTCAGAATCGCCTTCAGACAGCATGATTGCACTCGACGGCGCTACCCTGGAGGGAGGCGGTCAACTGGTACGCGTAGCGTTGGCCTTATCTGCCATCCGATGCATTCCAATTCGTATCGAGAACATTCGCGCCGGACGTGCCAGTCGTAATGCGGTGGGAGGACTCAAGGAATCGCACCTTGCGGCCCTGAATTGGCTCGCCGATGCTTGTCGTGCCAAACTTTCTGACGTCGCTGTCGGCTCGCAGAGCTTCACGTTTCGACCGTTGATGCGAAGAGCCCAGACGATTGTCAACTTGCCAGCCAAGTCAACAATAGAGCTTAAGAAGCCTGGGAGTGTCTGGCTCATACTCCAAGCTATCCTGCCTTTCATAGTCTTCAGCACGAACCTTCCGCTATTGGAGCTTACCATCAAAGGCGGCACGAATGTCAGCAGCAGCATGAGTGGCGAGTATGTCCAGCAGGTCCTAATTCCCACCCTGGATCGGTTAGGGCTACCGAAAATTGAAGTCGCAATTCCTCGTCGTGGCTGGGCTGATGGGATCGATGGCGTTGGGGAGGCCTCTATCCGTGTGTCTCGACCGACAGCGACTGCTTTCAGGCTCTCTAGCTTCGACCTGGTAGAGCGTGGCGACATTACAAGCCTCTCGGTCACCATTCTAGCACACTCTCGCTCGTTCGCAGACGCGATATTCTCGGCCATCGGGAGGACGCTGGCTGCTTACGCACTACTCGACAATCCCCTTCCAACACCAAGCCTCAACTTCAAACAGTCAGGCTCCAGCTCACGGACCTATGTCCTCATCGTAGCACATACTTCCGAAGGGTACCGTCTTGGACGGGATGTTCTATATGGACGAAAAGTCAAGAACGTCGGTGTAGAGGCCGCCCTGGCAGAGACCATCGCGAACGACGTCGTGAGACAGATTGCGAGAGAGGTGCACAGCGGCAGTTGCGTTGATGAGTACATGGAAGACCAACTCGTGATCTGGCAGGCATTGGCTACAGGAGGATCTCGGGTAGACTCCTCCAGTGCCGGACAAGAGGCAAATAGCGAAGACTCGTCGGTACAGAGTGCTCCACAGGTCTTAGGCCACAGAAACAGCAAGCACAGTGTTAAGCAGAGAAAAGCAGGAGCGAAGGGAAAATCAAAGCCCGGAAATAGCAACGAGCGAGACGTGTCCGAGAGAATGGCCAACCTCGACATTGGCGGTCAGGAGGACTCCAGTGACATGAACGGCGATAATGGAGGCTCTCTACATACTCGCACCGTGCGCTGGGTGTGCGAACAGATGCTAGGGGACGTCGGAGTCAAGTTTACACCAGGCGGGCGCTGCACAGGTCTCCCCGAAACTGGGAGCGGTGCTAAGATCGAGGACGACTAAGATTTGGTACCCTACAACTGCCTCCCTGGCAAGCGAATTCATGATGATTGATTCTGCGACTTGGCGCTCGACTGAGGCTCCTCTCAAGATTCCAGGCTCGATTCGCAAGGCAGTGCTAGCCCCCAGAGTCCGCCCTGACCTGGAATCTTAGCATTCTACGAACAGCTGCTGCAAACGCTCAGTTTATGCCGGAACAGCCCGAGGGATTTCATTCACGCTGGAGGTAGTCGTAATCGAGGCCTCCTAAGCCACAACTGCAGCGCTCTTGACCTTTTTGGCCTTCTTCTTGTCCTTCGGCTCACTCTTGGTCTCCTTCACCTCAGTCTCCGCCTTCTTCGTCTGCTTTTCCTGCGCTGAGCCATTCGCAACCACCGCATCAGCGATGTATGTCTGATCTTTGACGGCTTTCTTGTCCTTCTTCGCCTTCTTCTCCTTCGATGTGCCGTTCGCTATGCCATTCGTTGCTGCCACATCAGCGATCTCCTTGCGCTCCTCCACCGGCTTCTCCTCGATCTGCGCTTGCTTGCTCGCCGCCGCCGCCACAACATCAGCCGGATCTACCAAGCGTCCACTCGGCGCATCATACCCCATCTTCTCCTTCAACAACTTCGCCTTCTTCTGGCGCTTGTGTTTCTCCTTCTCGTTTTTGCGACTCCATGCTTCTACGCTCTTTGCTTCCGCCAACCTCTTTCCCTCTAGCTTCACATGCGGAATCTTCCTGTACTTTCGATTCGCGCCCTTGAACGTATCCGGATGTAACGCCTCCGCCTCGACATACTTGCACTTCAGGATATGCCCGAACATGAGGTAGTTATCCATCGCTGCAGCGGCGATCTTGGCTACTTCGGAGCTTGCGAACTCGATGAAAGCGAAGTGTTTGGACGCAGCGGTGTGCTTATTACGTGCTAGACGCAGGCGGGTGATGTCGCCGAATTGGGTGAAGAAGGCGCGCATTTGGGGCTCGTAGAAGCCGTGAGGGATGCGGCCTACGTAGATTGTGCCGGGGGTATCCTCGCCGGATTTTTGTTCTTTGGCTTGGCGGAGCTTCTTTGTCGTCTTCTTGTAGTCGGGGAGGGCGGGGGTGCGGGTGAGGTCGCCGGTGTCTGCGGCATCGTCATCGCTGTCGCTGTCGAGTCCGGTGAGAAGGGCAGCGGTGGTGTCGATGTTGGTTCCTTCGTCATCATCAGAGTTAGAGCCGACAGGGTCGACTATGATCTTTGTTGACTGGTTGTCATCCTCGGAAAAGGCTGCGAACTCGTCCTCGATTTCTTTGTCGACTGTGTCTTGCGCCTCTTGCTGCATAGACTTGGTCTTCTTAGGCGCCTTGGTGATCGTCTCGACATGCTCGTCGCCTGCGTGCTCTACCACGCCATTTGAGCCGTCGGCCGTGAGGGTTTCGGCTGCATTGCTGCCATTCTGCTTCTTCTTTGACTTCTTGCTCGGTTTGGTTGACTCTGATTGCGCAGCAGGCACGTCTACTCCACCAGCGTCTTCGTCGTCGTCCAGAAAGTCAGCCGCACGCTTCCTCTTCTGCTTGGACACAGCAGCAGCGGTAGGTACAACAATGTCAGTGGTTTCGATTTTCTTGCTCTTCTTTTGAGTGGGAACATCGGTTGCGTCGCCTTTCTTGCTCTTCTTGCTCGGCGCTTCCGCGAGAGCGTCGAGGCTCTTTCGTTTCTTCTCACCCATCTTGAATAATGACGCTTTCTGACCGCTGCTGAGGTACGATAACGGTGTGACCAATGTTGGTCGTCTGCGAAAAAAAGTTCTGGTAGTTTACTTTCGGCACTGAAATCTTTCGGCGAGGTTTAGCCGTGCTCCATTGCGAGGCCTTGGCATATCATGAAGGCCCCCGGTTGGAACCTGACTCGCCTGAAGGACTCGAGAAGTTTACCTTATCATATCGTGATCCATTGTTGCTCGCTGCCCCTACGGACACGGTCTATCGTGCAGCGAAGCCACGCCACGGGCCATCACGACTGGAAGACCAGTTCTCGCTGTGACGTACCGCGCGCTCGACCTCGGCACAATGTGATCTGATGGTGTAACACGTTTCACGTCTCAGAGGTACCAAGATCCTCGAAATCGATAGTCTTGTCTGTTATGGCTGTACGCATAAGAATTGCAAGTCAAAGCACACCATTTGGTGACTCTCACATCGAGGTTCGCTAGGGTCCATCTGAGACGGCAGTGGCAGTTCTCGCTGCGGCTTGCATTCAGCTTGCATTCGCGGAAACCCGTGATATACCCCTGGCGAGTGAGCACTAACATCATTGGCGATTTGCTCTTCATTCAGGTGAGTGCTTCAGCACTGACTACTTCTTTGACCGGTTTGCTATCCGAGCCAAGCACTTCCGCCATCAGTCGTCCCGTGTCTGCGCAGACCGTAGCTTGTGGTTCCAGACTAAAGGCTGGACAGCGGTCAGCCTGATCCAGGACTGTTGGAGTAAGGAGTGATCAATGAAACAACCAAGTCGTCCGCCATGGCAGATGTTAATTCAAGCACAGCACGTCAGTCAGAACAAGCAAATAGCACGGCACAGCTTGAGCCGCTTCTCAATACGCTCATCGATGAGATCCGCGACCTCAAACGCGTCAGCATCAAAATCGCGACGCAACGGCCGCACAAGACACAATTCATCTGGTCGGTCCTGCTCCAAGTCTTTGCACTGTTCATCGGATTCGTCTTTGGTATCTTCGCGATTCTAGCATGGCTTGCTGCAAGAACGGCGAATGATATTGCTACGGATTCAAAGCTTGTGGGCGTGCAGAACAATCAATTGGCGTTGATGACATACTGTCTGACCATTCCGGATGTCAACTCTTCGGATGTCTGTGTGGCCATTCAAGGCTTGCAGCGATCACAGATTGGTGTGGTTGCATATGAGACTTTTGGATCACTGTTATATGCGGACGGGCCGAGTAATGGGAGCGCAAACACACCTTCCGGCTCGGGTCATTCGAAGCTAGGAGGGGGTGCTATCGCCGGAATCGTCCTGGGTGCTATCTCGGGCGTCGCACTAATCATGACGATATCCACGACCTTGTTCAAGCGTCGGATGACCAGCATGGAACATCTTCAGACATATCTTGAACAGACTGACCCCAGACCAATGCGCAACATCCCGGCACCGAAAGCCTCTGAGATGGAGACTGAGAGTCCACCGCCGTCACCCTCGGCTTATGGTTCGCCGTCACATGATCCGCCTGGCGACCCGACAGCCCATTAGCATCATGATAGAGCACGACACGATAGGTCACAGCAAAGCACAGCTTGTTGCAAAAGTCTCCGAGCTTGACACTGCGCATTCCAGACATATCGAATACCAACGCTGAAAGGGTCTCTGATATATCAAATATGACAGGGCCTATCGATTTGATGGAAGACATGCCAACTTCCAATCCACGGCGCCAGACAGGTCAACCGAGCTATGGTTCCCAGATTGCTATGCAGCAGCTCGGGACTCGGAGTAGCGACATTCGTATGGACTCAGTCCGAGATAGAAGACCAAGCAACGGACGAATGGCCAGACCGTACGACAACAGCGGCATGTGAGATATTCGTCTGGTATGATATGGAACGCCCAAGGTTTTCTCTTCCTGCTGATATTGTTTACATCCCCGTCTTCTTCTTGAGTTCTCCAATCTTCTCACTCGCCTCCGCCTTTCCCATACCTTCCGTTTTCACATCTTCCCCTGCTTCCTTCGCCATGACCGCAATGTACCCTGTCTGCTTCCCCGTCGCCGGATCATCCCCAGTCGCCCACTCTTTAGGATCCTGTATTGGCTCATCGGCAGTGGCGTCAGGGTCGGCTGTTTCCTTGTTCTTGAGCTCGTTGATCTTCGCGCTTGCTTCGCCCTTGTTGAGGTTGTTGGCATCGACTTCTACGCCTTTCTCTTTGGCGAGGGTTTGGAGGAATGAGGTCTGTTTCTCGGTGGGTGCGTCTGCTCCGGTGGCCCAGGTTTTGGGATTGTCAAGTTGGGAGGCCATGGTCTGGGAGTGCTTTGTATGGGATGTTCTATGTGTGGGAAGAGTGAAAGAGAAGTTGTTGAGTGATCACCACACTATTGACGCCTTGGCTGGGTTGTTGTACAAGCATGACGCGTGAGACGCGAGATCGATGACGATTGCGGGCCGTCCCGAAACGATTAGATCTGTCAAACGCGGATCGATGCGCCGATCAATTTGAGTTCTACCATCTGTGGTACTGATGAGTTGGCACCTAAGCCAGGTGAGTCACGCGTATAGGTACTCATCCGTATGTGATGAGTCTACAAGAGTTTTGAGTCCTCGGTGAGTCCCTTGATCATGTATAAATGTCGCAAACCACAGCCACTGGCATCTCGGTTGCTGCACCACAGCTGTACACGATGGCTACAGACATCAAAACCCGAATCCTCATAATCTCCGACACACATGGCCGGTGCACACTGAAGCATGATCTACCAAAGGAACAAGTGGATGTCGCCATCCACTGCGGCGATCTCACCAACGTCTCAACAGTGCGAGAATTCCGTAACGCCCTAGACCTACTCAAACAACTGCCAGCACCCTTGAAGCTGGTCATACTGGGAAACCACGATTTCAGCATGGACGGACCCGCACTCCAGACCATAATTTACAACCGCGCAGATGATGTCCCACTCTCCTTCTGGAACCAAGTGTACGGAACACCTGAGATGATCCAGGGCCTCTTTGAAGACCACAAAACAGATGACAACATCCATCTCCTCGACGAGGGCACCTACGTCTTCAACCTGCAAAACGGCGCCCAACTCAAAGTTTACGCCAGTCAGTACACGCCAGCATGGGGAGGTGACTGGGGCTTCCAGTACCACCCCGACAAGGCGTACAACTTCGCCATCGAGCCCAACACTGATATTGCCATAACCCACGGGCCACCACGAGGTATCTTGGACATGTCCAATCGCGGCGAACGAGCCGGCTGTCCGCACCTCTTCACCGCCGTAGCCAAAGTGAAACCCAAGATCCATTGCTTCGGCCACATCCACGAGGCTGGGGCGCCAGATTCGTGCACTGGAGGGCTGGAAGCGGCACCTCGTCCGATATCCCGCCAACTCATTTCACAGCGATCGATAATGCAAAGTCGCGGTCAATGACGAGGACGAAGGACCTGCGACTTTCGGCTGACGATTTTGAGGAAGCCAGCGCTGAGGAGCAGGTCCGATTGCAAGATCTCGTCAAACAAGAGCACGCCTTCATGTCTTTATGCAAGGACAGCGCCACTCATTTGGTGCCGGATCAGCACACCCTCTTTGTGAACGCTGCTATTGAGCCTGCGCCTGGAGAGCATTTCCCCCAAAGCCCGTGGATAGTCGAGGTTGATTTGCCTTCCAGCCGCGACAAATGATGGCGGGGATCGTCATCGTCTTCGCTGATCCTGGATTGCAGGTGTCCGTGGTAAAAATGGCGATACATCTCTCGAGGTAGTGCATCGACGGAAAGCTGTGGGAATTCAAAGTTTGAAGCAGACTGTTCTGCCAGATATGCCTTGAGTCTTAGGCAAGGCGGTCGACGAGTCCATCCCCTCGATTGCGAATCTGAGGGCGAAGTCAACGAGAGGATTGCGGTAACCCAAGCTATCTGTCGTCATGGCGAAAAGAACATCATCAAACTGGGGTCCCCAGAACAGCGGCATCATCGCGACAGAGCAAGTGAGCTCAGAGAAGTGGCAGTGAATCCCTGCCCCGATTGCGCGACAAGCAGTGTGCACAGGTCACGCTTTTCTCTGCAAGACCCAACAGCGCGGTCCGGGCGACATGCAAAGCAGGCAGGGTGCCAGGGTGCACAGACTGACCTGCATGGGCAGTCTGAGTCTGTGCGACGTTAGTCAATTTCGACTTCCGGTCACACGATCCTGAACATTCTGTAGTGGTTAGCATGCCACAACATCAAATTCAGCGATAGCTGATACTTCAGAGAGAGCAAAGGAAGTTTCGCAAATAGATGCTTTTCTTCATGATGTTGCTGGGTCATTACACAACAACGAACGCACACAAGTACACCCGCTTCGCCATGCTTTGCAATCCTCTGCCGATCAAGTCTCAAAGACAGTGCTAGTCGACCGAACCGGGTTTCATCATGGACGCTCTCACAGCAAGAAAGCAGCACCCATCGCACCCAAAAATAGCACACCAACAGCATTCCTCTCCGCACCACTGACACCAGTCGCGGTCGTCGTTGGCCGGGTAGCCGAAGGCTGCGTAACGGTCGAATAAGTGATTGATCCCGTTCCAGTCGCAGCAACACCAGTAGCAGCAGGTGTCTCCGTGGGAATGATCGTCGGCAGAACAGTCGTCCCAGACTCAGTGGTCTCCGTGCTGGAAGGCCAGTCACCAGTCACAAACCCGCTACCGATATCCGTGCCGTTCTTGACAGGCCCACCAGTGGGACCGGGCTTTCCAGTCGAGCTAACGCTGGACGAGGAAGAAGACGACGAGCTCGAGCTCGACCCGCTACCACCGCACGAAGCGCTCGCAATCACAGAGAACTGTGTGCTGTATTGAAACACACCGGTGCCGTCTTCGATGATGAGCATGCCATAGCCTGTTGCGGTGGACTGCTTGCCCGCGGGTAGGGAGCAGGGGACAGCCCACTCGTATGACTCGTCGCTGGCGGGGAGCTTGGTTGCAATGGCGTTCGAGTCGGGCACGCAGTTGCCGCCGCCGCCGCGGCAGAGGACGAGGGAGACTGTTGAGTCTTCGTGGCCCGAGGCGTCCCAGGTTACTTTGGTCGTTTGGCCTTGGGTGACGGGCTGAGGGATGTTAGTAGGGGGCTTCGTGGTTTGGTGGGAGAGCAGGGCAACGTACATTGGTGAGATCAGGAGTCAACAACGCGCCAAAGGTCTGGTCTGTTGGTGGGGTGTATGACTGAGCATAGGCTTGTGCGGCGAGGGCCGCGATCGCAATGAGGGACTTCTGCATCTTGTGTCTGTGTCTGTTTCTGTTTCTTATTTTGTATATGTATAAAGGCTCGAAAGAGTGACTTAGGTGAGAGAATATATCAACTGAAGAACGAGAGCTGTAAAAGAGCGACTGCTTTCCGTGCGAACGTACCAGACGATTATGAAGCGATGGCGAGAAGGAGGGAGTAAGATGTGGCAACTTGCGCAGTTTTGTTCGAACCTACCTAGGTATCTAACCAATCTCACAGCTTTCCGCGCCAGGCATCGACTCGCGTGGCGCCGCCTGGCGCCGCCGTTTCCAGCTGGGGCATGCAAATGTGTGACAAGCCACCCGCGTTGTTGAAGACTTCGATCGAACAACGGCTTGTCGGAGATTGCTCAGCTTGGACGCCGGTAGGGTGACATTTCGAGAGCGGGACCTATTTCTGGGAGCCATTTGCTGCAGGTACCCGAGGACTTGTCCTATCACGGGGCTTTATAGCGTGTCAGTGGCGAGCTTAAAGTGAGCTTGGCTGATTGGAGAGTTTGTACCCAGTTTTGGCGTGAAATTGAGGGACGTTTCAGCAGACCCCTTCGTCAGGAGTTCGCAGTGCATGCTGCGAAGGAGGTGCTACGCCCATCGACAGTACGTTGGCTTCGGGTCAGCAAGGTATACGTAAGAGGTGTCGCCCATGATTCAGCGACATGAGCTCAGCTCGTCGTCCCAGGACGAGCGGCGGCAGCGCAGGGAGACCAGGAGCTTTCTCGATGAATCGAGGGGCACTATCGCCAAGAGGACGGATTGCTCGTCGATCATCGCGAGACTGCTTTCGTACAAGCTGGAAGTCCAGCATCACCCAAATGAGCAGATACTGCACTAAACCTCACTGCGTTTGCGGCGTGGGAAGACAAGAGTGACTGAGCAGAGGCCATACACACGCTCACCTGATTCCGTCATCTTGACAGGCGTGCTCGTACGTGCGAGTTTCATGGTTGGCTCAGCTGTTTCGTATTCTTCTGGTAGCGAGCGCTGCAACGCTGAGTTCTCGGACTCTCCTCGGCTTTCACCGGCGTTGAAGCTGGAGCTCCAAGTCAAACCATAGACCTTACGTGTTGTGTTGTGAAACGACGCTCTCTCACGGAGAAGTCAAGGCTTCGTAGAAGCAGAGATTCTGCAGTGATCGAAGTACTGGCACGTAGGTACAAGTCCGCAGTCCGATATTTGTGAGGCATTGGCCTTGCCAAGAGTCGCGTGATGGCGAGATAAGCTAGACCCTAGAACGCGACACGCCACTTCGTCTGTACTCCGTAGATGACTTCGAGCTCCTTTCCTAGCATCTTCCATCCAGCAAGCTCTGCTTCTCTGCTTGGTGACCATGATAAGTATCGGGAAACGGGAACGGTCGCTCGAAGCTGAAGGACTCCCTCCGACGAAGCTGCCACGAATAGAGCCTCCAACTCAGGCGAGCTCCGCGAGGACACTGTCAGATCTACCAAATGAAATTCTTCAACAGATCTTCTGGCTGTCACAAGAGCCGGCACTGATCCACGCATGCCAGGCAACATTCAGAGCATTACCTAGCTTTCAGTCATACACCCGAGCTTTGGTTGCCCTTGCCTACACTGATTATAGGGAAGATAGCAATGTTGCTAGAGATGTTTACCTACGACTTTCATCGCCGGCATCAGAGAATGATAGGTATCTGGACTATGATGAGCTACAACAACACATCGGAAGTAGCAGATGGCTGTCAATCACACACTTGCAGAAGATATATGCAATCAGTTGGGCAAATGTGGTGAGTTCTGAGGTACTGAGAAACCAATATGCCGACCTCACCCAAGCAGCTCGCAAGAAGCTGAATGCTTCCTGCGAAGTTGCCCTCAAAGATGGCACTATGCCCTGGTCTTCAGCGGATGCGGTCCTGGATCCAGCGCTCAAGGGTCTGAGTGCAGGTTGCCCACCAGCACCTGGAATAGTTGAGCTGGCGGACGACTGCGCGGTGGCGATCCGTTGCTTGACCCTAAGCGCCGCTGAGTGCGTTCTTTCAATTCAGAGATACATTCCAGATTGCCTCCTGAGCGAAGACAACAACCCAGCCGCACCGGAACTTCTCCATGTGTTCCTGAAGAGCGCAGGTCTGAAAGGCGCACTCACGTGGGGCTTCGATCCATACACATTTGCGGGGCCCATGACGGTGTATGCGATTGGTGCAAATAATTTTGCCCTCACTTGTGACGGCACTCTTCTGGCTGATCGGATCAGACGCGAGATCGATGCTGCTGGTTCTCTTGTGGATAGCGATGATGCCACCACTGAAAATCGATCACGCTCTAGAGACCAGCTGACTGACCTACTGGCATTGAACGGAATGTGCGGTCTTCCTGTCCCGGTCCGCTATGAGATGCTACATGCATGTGTCCGCCACGATCTTGGGTCATGTCTTTCATTGCTCCTACAGAAACACGTTTTCGGTGTTCCGGGAAAGACGAAAGACAGGACCCCGGGCGCATCGGTCACGAAGGAGGAACTGCAAACCCTCTGTGGTCGTGCGGCAGGTCACCGGAATGGCCAACTTTATACAGATCTTGACGCAGCAGTGGGCGCCATCCGGCGCTTGGAGGAGAAAGCTCGTGCTCGTGGCTACCCGCACTGGCAGGATTTTGCTTACGCGGTGCGAAATGGCTATGCTCGGTACAAATGCTACATAGATGATCATGTTGAAGATTGCGATGGATTCAGGTGCATGGAAATTTCGAGTGACGACGAGAGAGACAGCAGCGAAGCTGATAATGACGGACTGGACGGTAGCGGCCTTGATGACAGCGACTCGGACAATGGTGATGTGGGCAGTAGCGGTGCGCATGAAAGCGATGCGGACGAAATCTAGTTGCATAAGTACAGAGCACATGCTAGCGCTGAGTGGCACGAGTCTGATCCTGGAAAGACCAGTCACTTCTTCCTACCCAGCTGAGTGAAGCAAACAGTTCGCATTGCGTCGGATCTTCACATTGTTGAAAAGGTAAAGCAGCAGTGCTGCACCCAACCTGATCATCTTGCCTTCCCTCAATGTGACTTCGCTGTGCAGCTCCTCTGATTGTCATGCTTGGATAGTACCTGCTGCTACCATGGTGGGACGAGCGAGTTTGTACTACGGTGGACTCCCTCGCCGACCCCGTTGAAGAAGGAGATCAGCAGAGGCGCAGACTGGACAAAGGTTTTGGGTGAGTGTGAAATAGGTATTATTGCAGGCTCAAGAAGCCGATAAGCTCGAGAGCTCTCCGTTGCGCCGCAAACATTGGCAGCACCGCTCTTGGCTGCTTTCGTCCCATATATCGATATATCGTCTATTAATAAACGCCGTGTACGCGGCCCAGGTTGCCGCCTGATGAAGGACCGAGGTCCGTGCCATGTCATGCCATGCTCTTTCCAGCGCCGATCCGATCCAAAACATTCTGCTGCTTGCTCTCTTTGCGTAATATACTGTACAAGGTCGCTGCTCGCGAGCAGGAGAAGGCCGAATTACTGAGTTTTTAGGGGCTTCGCGTACTCCAACTGCGTGCCCCAAATATAATCCCAGAACTTCGAAGTCACACCGAACCTATTTCACGGTTGTCAGTAAAAGCTTCCCTCACACTCGCAAAAGTCAAGGAAGAGACTCACCCAAGCTCAAAATTCTGATAATGATGCGCCAAGTGATACTTCTTCAACTCCCGCACATACGCCGGCAGCGTCTTATGATGCAGAAAGTAATGCGTGCAGTCGTAGCACACATACCCAAAGATCCCACCGCTAAAAACCATAACCGCCGCGTACCAATCATACCAAAACACCGTATGCGCGAGCTTGTAGAAGGGCGTGGCGAGTGCGATGAACAGCGTGGGCGGCATCACCAGCCGATAGCGGTCCATGGGGAGGTAGTGGTGAATGCCGTGCAGGAGGAAGTGTGCTGTCAAAGCGAGTGGGTGGTCGGGCATGTACTCGTCGACGTGGAAGAGGAAGCGGTGGAGGAGGTACTCGACTAGCGTCCAGAGGAAGAGGCCTAGACACCAGTAGGCTGGCGCCGCGAGGTGGAGAGGTGGTGAACT